AACAATTCTCCCCCCTCTATCATGGTTTTCCCACTTAAGGTGCCTGCACTTCCCCCCCTTTCTTCCTTACTAATACCCTTGCTCCCATGATCCTACCTCTGTTGAACTGCTTCTTACTCATAATTAGAATTTCTAATCTCTTAGATGACTGCTTCTATTAAACTGGCTATTCTCGCTACTAAAGTTTTCTTCTAGGCTTTACCAATTAGACATTATTTCTCAGTAGTTGTTATTAAAGGGAGATGCTGGTCTACACCCTAACGTTTCAGAGAATTGTTGCCCTCAAAAACCACGCAGCAAAGATGCTACACAGAGTGAGCAGGAGAACCGGCTTCCAATTTAATGCCACCTGTCTTGGACTGAGTTTCGGCCTCTGGCAGGTGCTGTCACCAGCCTGGTGGTCTCCCAGTAGAATCTATTTCGATAATGCAGTGCCAGAATATAGGTTTCTTTGTTGTTTTTGCCTGCAAAAAATGTATAGTTTGTTAAGAATATGGTAAGTTGTTTGGAATAAGAGGTTTTCTCAGTGGAAAAGAAACCCAAATAGATTTAAGTTTTTATGGGGCTGAGTCAGCCAAATCAAACACAGGCTTGCCTGACGCTTCCAACTTCTTCATGGAAACTCATGATCTCCAGAACTTTGTTGTCTAAATATAATTCATGGCTTTTTCAGATATTATGGGGTGGACTGACAGGAAAATGTTAGACATGCTCACTTGTGATTTCTATTGTACTGCTTACAGAATGCCCACTGAGTATGTTGAACAGTTTGGTATGTGCAAAGATACAGGCCAGTTCCTGGCATGTTGTACAACTTCAGTAGGAAGGAGAAAGATAAACTTTCTTGTATTATAGCAAGCACAGAACTATAATACGGAACCAGTCTTCTATAATGTGCTTTTGCATAAACTACTCATGTCAGAATTTAATTTAAAATCCTAAAATACCTGTACCATAAACTGGCTCCATTGCCCTCATCAGAGAAGTACTTTTGTAACATATAAAAATGAAACTTCCAAGATTTAATTCTAAAGAGAATTCCTCCTATTCTTTTGGAAACAGGTATAACTGGTGTCAAAGGAGAGAAAGGTAATCCAGGCATTGGAACTCAAGGTCCAAGAGGCCCCCCTGGGCCAGCAGGTAAGTCTTTCTATCTATTAGAAACTGTAAAATATAAACCTTTATGTTAACTTCGTGTCACAGATCAGGAAAATGAGCATCTGCCATTATTGTGTCAACTGGAGTAACCACATTCCTCACTTATTTTTATTGCAAGGCCAATGCACTGGTAACATTCCTCCCACTATATAAGCCTAAAATATCACACCTCATCTGGACTCATCTTGATTGCATGAGTTAAACTAGGGTATAGTAACAGATAAATCCCAAGTGCTTGGTGGATTGACAAAATGAAGCTTTATTTCACATTCACAAACTCTCTTGTGTGAGGTGAACATTCCCCATGCTGAACCCCATGACATCCATCATGAATAATGCAGCCTCCAAGAGAAAGAGAAATAAGGCCCATCAGTTTCAACTTCTTAAATCCAGTGATGTCTTCCTTTCATTCATACTTCTCTGGCCGGAGCTAGTCACACAGCCTCAGCTGAACTATAAGAGAGGCATGAAATCTAGAGAACCACAAGGAAATTTGAGAAACTTTGGTAGTTTCTACTGTGGTTGTCTGGCCAAATGAGCTTTTTGGAAGTTTTGAGTTTTGAGTACAACATCATGTGTTTTTCAAATGATCTCCAGATGATCCAACTTGTTATTGGTAATATAAGCTTGCATCCTATTCTATTTACAACACTATTCTTAGCCACATCAAGTCAAATGCTTCGTAGATTTTTCTTTCTAATAGTACAATGGTTTTGGCAGTTGTCTTTTAAGAGATAGCCCCAAAACAATAGGTCCATCTTGATTATAAATACTTCTACTGTTAGAGATTGTATAAGGAACTGGTATAGCATAGCCCCAAAACAATAGGTCCATCTTGATTATAAATACTTCTACTGTTAGAGATTGTATAAGGAACTAGTATAGCATCATGTGTTACAAAGGGCAGGTGGCTGGTGAGAATTGACTGAGTGGAACTGAATGTATTTGAGGCATCATACTATTCAAATAAAAATGATACTTGCTTCTGCTTTTAATTTCAGTGCTGGGTGCGTGATTTTCTATTTTATTGTTTGAGAATTTTCACACATGCATACAATGTGTGATCAATCCACCCTCCATTCCCTTTCCTCCAACTCATCTCTTATCTCTTCATTGCTTTCCCCTCCCAACTTCGTGCATGCTTTTTTTTTTTTTAAACCCACTGAGACAGTTTAGTGCTGTCTATATGTACATGGATATAGAACCATCTACTGGAACATGAGTAGCCACTCAGAGGCCATTTTCCTGAAGAAAATTTATGCTCCCTCTCCCGTCCATAAGGTTGAATGATTTTATTTCTAGTTGAAGATTGTCTTATAAACACTGAGAAAAGCCAGGCCTAAAATTCAACAGGCATGCAAACCAAAATATCCACCCAACAAATTTCTTAAAGGCAAAAAAACATTTTAACCACTCCTTATTTCCATTCAAAGTTCTTAATTGATGTAAGATGGCCTAAAGAATTTTAAATTAATGTACTGGGCCAAGTTTTAAACTACTTTCCATTCATCTTTTCCAGGATAAAGTTTTTTAGACCTAGACTAATTTAATTAGCTGAGACCATAAACCAGTACTAATTTACATGACAATTTTAGTTTATGAGGCTGTGATCTGAATGCATCTAGGTATGTGTATACATGTACAGATGTGTGCATGCCTATGAATTGAATTCATAAAGAGTCATATTGGAGAACAAGAGCTCCGTTCAGAAAATGAGGTTTTGACAATGGCCTCCACCTTTCCTTTAATGCTCAAGAGGTCATACATTTTTGCATGCCAGATTCTAGAGCTTATTACAAGCACTGTTTTCTAGGAGAACATGTGATTATGGTATGTTCCTTTGCCCAGGTAATCTGCTTTAAGAAAAAGCGCTCTATTATGTAGAGAGGCTGAGTATACTAATTGTTTAGATGTATATATAGAGTTGCTTCTTTAAAATTTTTGTTTACTTCGTGGTGGTCTCACAGCTCACCCTATTGTGGTAAATGATCAAGTCTTTTCATATGTTGTTGCCTTTTAGGACCTTCGGGGGAAAGTCGGCCTGGCAACCCTGGGCCGCCTGGCTCTCCTGGACCAAGGGGTCCCCCAGGGCACCTGGGAGTACCTGGACCACAAGGTCCTTCTGGCCAGCCTGGATATTGTGACCCATCATCATGTTCTGCCTATGGTGTGGGAGGTAAGTATGAGGCAGCTTTGCACAGCTTTGTAGACATTACTAACAAAATGTGGCTTGGGTGCAAAGTTGCATAGGTAGGAAAGAGAAGTAGGGCCTGGGCGTTCGCTTCCTTACGTTATCTTCTGTAAGTGCTAATATCACTGCAGAGTCTACTTAAAAATCCTTAGAAGAAAGTCAAATAACAATACATTTAAGATTCTTTCACTTCCCAATAGTGACCCATGGGCTGGAGATATAATACAATGGTAGAGCACTTGCCAGATGATAGATTTGGCCCCCTACTGAGTCATCTGTGGCATATGGCTGAGCATTTGGGGCTTTCCCATTACTATATTTCTGCTATAGTGTGGCCATGACATCCTGCAACATTTTACTATTATTTTAGGAAAACCTCAAATTTAGACCTTACCCATAATGAACAGGGCCCCCCAAATTCTTCTAGATGACATCCTGCCCATTGTGTGAATTTTAGGTGAACAAGGAAGGTCTTAAGAAGAGACAAGAGTAGTTATGTTGCCATTGCCTCACCACTAATGATTGCACTGAGATTCTGAAAGATTAAGCTTCCTACAACTGGGACTTTTCAGACATAGTTACTCTCTGAAACTTCAAGAGAGAGGTTCAGAGATGTCTATAGGGCAGTGAACAAATTAGTAGGTGAATGTAACTTTTCCTTTTCAAGAGAAATTTAACCTTAGTTGCCAGAAGAATTGGTCAAAGTTTTGCTGATGTGTTTTTCTCTGTTCATCTCTTCTCTCTCTGTCCTCTCAAATCTTTACCCTGTCCCTTCAGATCTGATCCCTTATAACGATTACCAGCACTGAAGTGGCTATCCTACACTTTGGTTGCATTGACCTGGGCATTTGACTATAGCTACAAAACTGGTTCACAACCACCACTAAGCCCCTGCCCGTAAAATGGGGATGCCTCTTTTCCTCACCCGATCCCCTGCCTTCCCACTTTCAAATCTCTTGCCTTCCTGATCCTAACATGACAGAGTGATAATGTGGAACTTCAAAAAATCACATAGGTCAACTGTGATAGAAATCAACTGCCCGTGATTGCACAGCAAGAATTTATCCTGAACTCCTCTATACAAAGGCTCTGTAATAGTTACTTTACTGTGCCCTCTTCTCTTTCCTATCCCCACACAAAGACGGATAAGCATCTTTCCTCCTGACTCCCCTACTCTGCCTTCCTCCCTTGATCACCTCCTCTTCCCTCTGTGCCCTGGTGATGGGCTTCTAACGTAAGACTGGTTTTTAAATTTAAATTTTTCTTCCATCCTTCTACTGCATTTCAGGGTTCCTCTTATGAATAAAACATAAAATATTTACGCAATTGGCTATGATTCTAGTTTTCTAACAGTTTCTGTGGTGTGTCTTTCACTTCCTCCTTTTACTGAGCCTCAAGGGGAAGGGGCATGGTGAGTTAGGCAGCGATTGCTTTCTCCCCACATGGGATGGATCTGCAGTTTACTGATCAAATCTGTGTCTCTAAGGACCCAGGTGAAGGAGATTATCCATTTACAGTTCCTGGATCCTATCAAGTCCCCACCCCCACTTTTCCTCTTTAGCATCTCATCCAGATCAGCCTGAATTCACACCTGTTCAAGACGAGCAAGAAGCCTTGGACCTCTGGGGCTCTGGGATCTGACCACCTCAGGAGACAGCCAAAGACCAACAGCAAGACCTCTTCAGGAACTTTACTCACAAAATGTTGTTATGTAGTTTGTATGCTACTTTGTGGGGGAGGCGGGGCTCATTTCAACAGCCTGGATCTCCTTCATGGATCAGGTTAATATTAATGTTAACAAAAATTATGTATTTCAAACATCCCCTTAAGCTATGATACCATCAAAACAATGCCCCTTTGCTGTTTTCTTGACACATCAACTAATTTGGTGTTTGTGCAAAGAAAAATGCTCAAAGAAGAACTGGAAAAGATAAACAGAACCCTGAAATCTCTCCTCTGTTACATCATCCCAAATTCTAAATAGAATAAGACAGATATGGTTACATTGGAAGAAAATGGGGCCCAACAGTAGAAGCGGGAGTTCAGAGCTGCACCATTTACACTATGCCAATGGCAATAACCTTGCCAATAAGTAAAACAAAACTATCATGGGTGAAACTACCTCTTTCTTGTTTAAATTGATTCTGTCCAATTTTGAGATTATTTAGTATCTGGTTTCATGGGTGTTCAGAAATATGTGCTAGAGTATAACTTTTCTGGATTTGATAATTTTAAAAACAGATTCAGTTTTTCAATAGTTTTTATTCTATGTAAAACAATGACTTCCTACCAGCTCTGATGTAAAAGGGATCCATGTTTTATGAATAATTTGTCCAACAGTATGTTCCAGGGATTGCCTCTCCTCAACTACAGGGATTACTTTGTATATGCAGATAAGTTTTTGAAGACCAGCTTTGTATTCTTTTTTTTACAAGCAAATAAAAGTTTAAAACAATGTGTGTGGTGGATTCTTTTACTGCACTTCAAAATGTTACCTTCAGCTTTTGTGGTCTTAATTGAGAGTCCATCTGAAAAGCAGCAGCTACCATCCTATGGGCAAGCATTCCAATGCTCACGCCTTCATTCCTTCATCCTTCAGCTTCACAGAAGAACCAATAGACTTGACACCAAGACACTAGAATGATTTGGGTAGCCATTTATAGCATAGCAGGCAGCTAAACAAGTGCAAATGTGGGGCTGGAGAGATGGTTTATTGGCTAAGAGCACTGGTTGTTCCTACAAGGACCTGGGTTTGATTCCCAACAGCCACATGACAGCTAACAACTGTCTGTAACTCCAGTTCCAGGGAATCCAATTCCCTCTTCTGATCTGCACAGGCATTGCACAACATGACTGCACTAACACACATGCAAGCAATATACTTGTACATATAAACTAAAATTAATAAATAAAAATTAAAAAAAGAAGTGCAAATATACCAACTCTGCTTCTATGAATGTTTGCCAATGGTTGACCAAGGAGCTCTTCTGTCTTCTAGCATTAAGCAAAACCTGAAAAACTTGAGAAGAAATTAAATTAAATCTCATGGGTGCTATCCCTTAAACTAGAGCTTGGTTTCTTTCAAAGGAAAACTATTTGAAAAAAAAAAAGTATTTGAAAAAATATTTGAGTCCCATTGTTTGATAATTGAGCAATGGAAATGGACGAGAATGTAAGTTCCCTTCCCTCAGTTACATGTCTCTGGGTAACAACTAATTTTATAAAGTTACGATGACTTCATTTACAACCAAATTTTGGATTCTTTCTAGCTCAGATTAGGAGCACTGGAGGCGAGATTCATGGCATCACCAGTTTTTCCCACCCTCTGTCTTCCTAAGCATCCCCTGTTTTGTTCTTTATGCCAGAGAGAAGAAATCCTCTTTGTACAAGGGTTTCAACCAGTAGGGTTTAATTTCTGTGCCTTTGAGAACCTAGGTAAATAGACAGACGATGGAAAAAGCAACTGACATCCATCCCCTTTAAGTCATGGCTGAAAATTTGCCTGAAGAAACAGGACCAATGAGTGGGGAAAAAACTTGCACAAGGCAAATCAATATTGTCTGACCAGTATTCCCTGGGAGAGCTCTTCCAACTTAAGTAACTTGGAATGTTGCCAGGTCTCTCAATCTGTGACATTTAAATGTGGCAGGACAGATGGTTGGTCTATATGTTTTTAGTGAGTTTGGCTCTTGAGAGCGGATAGTCTGATACTATGGCACTACAAAGACTTTCAGTTTGTTACAGTGGTGAAATATAAATCACCGGAGGTTCTAATCCATTCACATCATTCTTGGGTTATGCAAAAATACCATTGGCTTTGATTTTGCTTGGTGACCTGAATTTGTTTACTTAAGCTACAGCAAAGTTTCATTAGTTTAGAATGCGTCATCATTTGGACCAAGTATATCAGCTTTTGATTGCGTGTCCAAAATAAAAGGTGTAACTCAGATTCTGGATTTGTGTGTTTCCAATATGTTGCCAGTAATAAAAGCTGACTCTGAAGTGCATTTTTACTGACTTGCTTTCATTGGCAGGAATATACTTCTGTATAGGTGCATGCCATTTTCTGAAAGTAATAAGGCATCCCGTCGAAAGAGAAAACATTTCTCCTCAGAATTTTCATCGTGTTCGGTAGAATCTCTGTTTCTTTTGAGAATAGTCGTTCAAGAATAATATTTTATCTCCAGAAAGACCCCGATTCAATTCCAGGACAACCTTGTTTCATCTTTCTTTTCTTCCTTCTTCCTTGCCCAAGCCTTCCATACCTAATATTTGTGTTTTAGTTCTGGGGATGAAAACAAGAACAGCAGAGATGTGAACTATGTCCTCACAGAGCTTCCTTTCCTTCGTCCTAAAGAAAGACCAAGACACATAAGCAGACAAGAAAATGCATTAAAACTCGCAATGAGTGATATGGAAGACAGGGAGTAAGGAGGTGTAATGGGAGCTGCTGTTTCTAACTGGTGGACAGAAAGGTGCCTTTCTGACAACTAACAAGTGGAGACATGAATGTGAGAAAAGCGTGGGAGGAACCCTCAAGCCCAAAGCTCTTCAGGTGCAAAGACCCTCTGTCAGGAAGCTGCTTGTCGTGTTCAGGAAACAAAGAGGAGCCCAGAAGGCAGGAGAGTGAATGGAAGAGGGGAACATAATAAGCTTGGAGACCAAACTAGGTAGTTAGTGATTTAAACTTTGTTTTTAATTCCATTAGAATCAATTGAGGCTTTGTCAAGAGAAGAGCCACGTGATTCGGTGCATTTTAAGTTAGTGAACAAATAACTTCCATTGGGCCACATTGCTGGGTGTTTTTTCTAAAGCTGTCACTGAGCTTGTGTTCTGAGCTCTCAGTACAAGCCTCTCCCAAGAACTTTGTATCAGTTGTGAAGTTGTTAAGTTGGGGTAGGCACAGAAAAATTAGTTAATAGTCCAACACACAGAGCGATAGTTCAAGTCCAGGCGTTCTGGCAGAAGATGTGCACTGTTAACCTACTACTGTGCTTTGAGTGATGCTAAATTCTAATGGCAAAAAGAGAGTACAGTTGGAGTTTGGAACGATAAACAGTTATTTCTTTCTCACACACCAGAGCAGAACAGCTGCCTGCCATATCTTGTCCCAGGGTTCTGTACTGCTTGTCTCTTGGAGACTTCTGTTGTCAGCATACACTTCATGGCTGGCACGGCGTTAGAGAAGAACCTGGAGAATCCTTTTCCAAACTTCTTTCAGAAGTGATGCATGTCACTTTTACTCATGTGTTACTGATCTAAGAAAATAATGATCATGTAATATATTTGCTTTCAAAGATGGGAAAACACATACATGTAGGCCATATACGCACATGCACAAAATAAAAATAATAAAATCTTCCTGTGTGGTGAGGAATGGGCTAGAGCGAATCAAAGCAAACAAGAAAAATTACAGCATTATAGTGGCCCACTGAATATCTAAGCTGGTGGGATCAGCATGACTTACTGAAGCAGACGTGAGGAAAGTTATTCTAGGAGAAGCCAGGTACTGACATAAACAACAGGGTGGATGAGATAAATTTATCCCTCTGGGAATTACAGATTTGGAGCAGGGAGACTGAAGAGTTCATTTTAGGAGATAAATTGCCTGTGAGGTGTTAAGTAAGCAAGTTGAAGCTTGGCGATAAATCGGGGCAAGAGATACATTTAGGAGTTCTTGACACATACAGATAAATTTAGAAGTTATCAGCACATAGGCAGTATTTACAGGCTAAAAGCTATGTGGTAGGGTAGAAGGACTGCATGCAATCACTTGGGGGAACTTAATCACTTTCATTTTTGCTGACACAAATTTTCCAACTTGATTACTCATCTTTGTTTTTTTAATTACATATACTGAAATATATCTCTCAAACAAAGATTTTGCAATTGCACCCATAGTGAACTAGTTATCAAATTCTTCATGCATGTTCTCTCTTGTTTCTGTGTCTTTGACATGCTTTCCCTTCCATTGGAGAGCCCTTCTTTGCTCCACCCCAGAGTAAAATGATGTATGTATATGTACACACCATCTCCAAGATCCTCCGGAGGCTCTTTCCTGTGTGGTGTCTGTTCTGAGCCCTGTCTGATCACACTGGCATTCATGACACAAGACCCCCATTTTCAGTTCCTTAACCTATGATCTCCCAATTGGTATGTAATTCTTAATGGGTCTCAGGCTGCTTGACACCTGAAAGTTGCTTCATAAATGTTTGTGGAATATTTCTCAGAAGCACTTCATTCTAGCATATGTTCATCCAGGAAGAATTTTCTTTAGATGTAAGGCATAACTTCTAGTATGGAAGATTAGAAATGAAAGATCAGCTTCTTCTAAAGAAGCTTGCAAATTCAGATCTGTTAAATGTTTCAGGGTGTGGGAGAAATAACTAAACCTTATCTTCCCTTAATTTCGTTCATGCGTACACGTATTCAGCCATCTCTCCATGCATGCAAATTCCATGCACCAAAACTTTTAGCTAACACCTGCAATGGGTTCATTCATGTCTTAGGGTGCTGGACAACAAGAGAGGAATTATGTCATAGGATCTCTCTAACTTGCCACTCTAATTTAAAGCAGGGAAGAGAGCTTGAAAAAGATTCTGAAATGTCTTCTATTCCATCCTAAAATGCTAAAATTTTTACCTGAGGGCAACAGGAATTCTGTTGGTGGATGCTTTTAAGCAGTGTGAACTAAGTGATTGAAGTTATTTTTTAAAATAAATAAATCAAAGAAGAAGAAAGAGTACATGAAGTTATCAGAAA